ACAGCCAAGGCCAGAGGAAAGGTTAATCGCAGCTTAAACGCTATTTTGAAGTGCTATTTAAGAATTTCGTATCTTGTACTCATTACAAAATACGGCGATACATTGTTATTAAAGGTATGGGTCTTATACGAACACATAATATGTAATAATCTTGTCGTATTTCCAGAACAATATGAAATACATATTATGTCGTATATTTAAATATTAATCTTATAAATACAATAATTTTTTTTACAAAGCTAACCTATTTAGAATACCCAATTCATTGCGACAAGTTTCAATACAATTTAATTTGTAAACTTTCCTTACTAACAAATAACTTTCGTACTAACTTTCGTGTGCGGTTTTAGGCGGATCTGATTCTAATATAATCTTATTGAGTGAACCCTGTATCCTACAGACCCGCCATTGTTAATAAAAATTGTGCTACGTAAATTGCAATCAGCACTTGCTAAATGACTGAATTGGTATCGGTTATACGTAGTAACCCTGTATATTTACATAAATAAGTTAAAAACCTTTCATATTAAAAAGCACTTATTTTTGTACCACCATAAATTATAATTCAAAGACAATTACAGACGCACTAAGGAATTCAGAAACAATAGATTAGACATTAAAATTAGATTCTGACATACAAATGTCCATGAAGGGCTACATAACTTTTTCGAGTCTTCGCATGGATCGAATTTGAATTTATCCATCACAAATTAAATTATATCTTTTTAAAATAATATTGCTATTTAGATACTAGAGATGGAAAGTACTTTATCTGTGAATTAGACTCCAATAATGATTATTAATACAAACAATTATACGTGTGTAATGAGTGCAATATTGTGTAACCATTTTGTAACTATCAGTATCATAAGCATACAGTTTTGTATTTGATAAACTCAGTTCAGTTTGATCACATAGCTTTTCCACATTTTGTATAGACCACAAAAATAATATCATCATATGTATATCGTGCTATAGATTCAAAAGCTGCCACTCTCCAGCAAAATGCTAGTTTTCTTTGATTATGTGGCCTAAAAATACAATATACATATTGTTGAATATTGTCTGTATTTTACTTAGAGAATAATAAAACTTTTCAAGCTTTAACTTTACAAAAACAACGGTGACGCTACCATCTTTAAGGTCTGGGACTCAGGTTTCTTAATCTGTTTCATGATCATTTGTCAATCTAATAGGCAAGAAGGTGATCAGCCTGCTGTCCCTGACACACGCCGTCGACTTTTTGTGTCATGAAACCATGAAAATATCGCGAGGAAAACCTCGATCAGTGCACTCGCGAGTACTCTGGCATTGAGTGTGTCTATCTTAAAGTCCACATATCACTTAACATGTCATATTCCATGCCTCCGGGATCGGCCGGGATAAGAGTCGCGCGATTAAGCCACTACGCCAATACTGCTCACAAAAAAGTAATAACAAATAAATAAAAGCCTAATGTAATTCGTTATTACGTCAATGACGTAAAGTTTACATCCGTCTAGAAGGTTTTTTTGTTGCGCCATCAAAAATAAATCTATAATCAGAAACCTTAATTATAGAAAGTGTATGTTATAAGTAGACAGTAATTTCCCTATGCTAATTAGTTCGTTAACGACTCAGTTGCAAGAAACTAATTACTTAACTAAATAACTTATTGTTCATTAGTTTAAGATGTGTCTTAGCTATTTTCTTTACATATAAATAAAACACTTTTATGCTATAGGAAATAAGATACAGGAAGACAATCTATTACGATTTTTGAAACTTTGAAGAATAGAACAAAGCTTTTTCCTAATTAGTTTGCGAAAGAAAACTTATCAATTAGTATATTTAATTAGTAAAAAAGCTTCTTATTCATCTTATTAATTTTCAAGTTTGATAGTTAATTCAATTAATTTTACTTAATTAATTCAAGCGTAAATGGGAAACGCGAGTGCTTGGTGTATTGTTTAACTTCGGGTTTCAAAACAATCGTTGTTTTTAGTCAACTTTGATACGTACTTTGAGTTAACAAATACTGTGTCTAACGGCCTTCGTTTCTATATTATAACAGCATATATGTTTCAGCTTAGTTTATGTTCAAAAAAAATATGGAGAAACAGGAATGTAACAAAAGCCACGAAGACCAGGCTCGTGAAGACACTTACATTCCCCATATTTCTGTACACAGCTGAAACGTGGAACTTGCGAGATGTGGAAAAGCAGAAAATAGACGCTCTAGAAATGTGGTGCTGGAGGAGAATGCTTGGGGTTTCGTGGACTGAGTTTCGTACAAACGTCTCGATACTTCAAGAACTCGGTATTAAGCAGCGTCTGTTTTCAACAGTACAATCTCGCATTCTTACATTCTTCGGTCACATATCTCGGCGTGGTGATCAGTCCATAGAACGTCGTCCAGGGGAAGGTGGAAGGCACTAGACCTCGCGGAAGGTTACCTACGCGTTGGACTGACCAAATCAAGTCTGCCGTAGGAGATTCACTCATGTGCAGTAGGATGACCTCTAATAGGCAACGATGGCGAAACGGCGTGAAGCGCATCATATCTGCCCCTTCTATTACCACTACTTTATAGCGATCACGACCGTTCTGTCAAGAGTGCACCGGATAGGAAGAAGAAGTTTATGTTCAGCTTCATTTTGGATTTATTCAATTTATATTTTTAATTAAATACAATTCTATAAGAGTTACACAAAGTATTACGTCTATCAAGCAACCGGTTTTCGCACGACCAGTTAGTAATATGCGGACTTCCGACGACACTGCTTATGGTCAATGAGTTCAAAAGGATTGTGAGGCAAAAGTAACGAGTGGACAAGCGTGATAGCGTTCACCAAATGTTGCTTAAGTTTGACCATAGATATCAGAACTCTGTTATCTTTCCATAGATAAGAATAAATGCTAATAAAGGACTACGTCTTGGACTCCCATTGAAGCCGGGCGTGAGAATGTTTTGGTAACAATAGGCAACGCGTCTGTTGGTCCAATCACAATCCAATTATGTCTTTTGTAATATCGACTGTATTCTATGCAATTAAGATATATTTTGCAATGCGTTACACTTAAGTAAAGTTGTCTTTAATGGTAACTTCTTCATTAGCAGCTGTAGGACGGCGTGAACGGGCGCTGGTAAAACGCCAACCTCAGTTGACACAAGAATCTACTACATTAGATCATGCACCATCTAAAAGTATAGGGAGTATAGCTTACTTTCATGCGTAGTTTTGCACTCAACGAATGTTTTGAAAATTTCAAGCCAAAATATTTACAATTGCCCACATATCTTGGCACGCTCTCACCAACCTTAACAACATTAGTTTTGTTTCGTTCAGAAATAACCACGTTATTCCATGTTTTAAATCGGTTCCAGCGAATTGGGTAATGAGTCAGTGTTTATTCATGATAATTGTAACATTCTGATTATGAACACTTTCCTAAAATGTTGCCAAGCGTGGTAGGCAGACTATAAAAATAAACGGTATGACGGAGACCTATAATCGACCTGTTATCCAAAGAAAAATCAATATGTACGTTATTGTTAAAATTATTTACACAGATAGGAAGGAATTTATATAACAATTCTTGAAAGGCCGGCAACGCACTCGCGAGGCATAAAGAGTGTCCATGGGTTGCGGGGCGGTATAACTTAACATCAGGTTGATCCTCCTGCCCGTTTGCCCCCTGTTCTATAAAAAAAAAACGCTCCTGCGGGTCATCCAATAAACACGACAGCCCCATGCCATATTATCAATGCATAATTGCCAATTATTTAGACAGTTGTTCGTAGTATATAGGTATTATTCTTTTTAATGTAGGTACATATTATACAAACAGAAGATACAGTATTAAAAATCGTTTCTGTGGAAAACTATCGCCTCATGTGCAGTTGATATTTAACTCCCAATAGCAACTGCGATCCCGGCTTTATTAAGATTTTGTATGGCGTGACTACAAAATTGCATACAAATCATAGGAGATGGGTTCGTTATTGGAAGTAACAGACAAATATTAAATAATGATGACAAAGCAATTTTGGTGAATTCTTAAGCTCAGGTCCGAACTGTAAGACAATCCTATATAAATATAGGATCAGTATTGAATGTAAATAGAGATCAGGTAAATTTCTAGGAATATTTCCGTTGAGCCGGCTTTGAATATATTACGTGGTAAATACAATTCATTTGAATAAATTGTTTATGTAATAGTAAAGCAGGCGATTTAGATTATTAATCGTCTTTTAGAATCATTTTGTAATTTTTAATTTAATGTTATTTACTAAGTATATATACTTTTACACAAGACTTCAATACTTACACTGCTAACTTTTACTAATATTTTTTTTTCGACTATACTTAGTATTATTATTACGCCTCTGAGGCGCAAACTAGCTGCTGTGGTCTCTGGCAGAATGACCAGCTCTGTGGAACAGTCTGATTCTCAGCATTATGCTGAGCCAGGGCCAATTACAACCACAGCACACACGCTTTACACACTTAAAACGTACCTTGTTCTTTAAAAGAAAAAAAATTGTTATCTTTCATTCTTTTTTATACTTTTATTTTTGTGTTTCTGTGTGTGTGTGTGTGTGTTTTGTTAGTAATAAATGCTATATCAGTCTATTGCAAGCCAAAAGAAATCTTTCCAAAATGAGCCTGTACTCTGGGTCAGACAATTCGAATTCCAAGAATTACGTTTAAACTGCTAAAATAAAGATAATAGATTGGCATGAACAATTGTCTACAATGATGTTGATGAGAACCTTGGCCAAGGTCGGTATCAATTATTTAACTCAACACACATCTTAATTCATACTAGTTCTAGTCAAGATAAATGATCTTCATATTGTAGTATTTTATATTCGTTTAGTTCTGTCACGTTTAATTAACGTGAAGATAAAAATATGCTCGCGTAGATGATATCAAAACATCTTTATGTTATGTAATAAACAACACTTAATTACTATAATTAATTTGCCGTTCATACAGCTGATTATTCTTGCTTGTTCAAAGTAAACAAACACTTACCGTGTCTTCCAAATTCTTGAACTCATTAAACAACCGATTGTTGGTCAGCTTCTGGTTAACGGACATGACATTCGCTGACATCGCAATCATGCTCGCAGCAAGTTGATCCACCTCCTGCCGAAGGTTGGCGATTTGCACTTCCCGAACCACAGTTATCACGAGCAGCCATATGGCTAGAGCCCCCACAGATACACCATAAATCACACATCCATTTCTCCGACCACTTTTCTCCATCCCTTCCTTGTATTGTCTCTCGAAATCACCACTCATTAGGTTCTTTGATGATTCCTTGATATCACTCTCTGTTTGTGTGTACATGATGACAGACATAAGCGCAGTTTTCGACTATAGCACTCCGTAAGATTAATTATCGGTACATGTTTTTCGGATGTCGATAAGAACACGTGCTTACTGTTTGGATCGGAGATGGGACGCGAGTATACGTCGAGGCAGACCGGTTTGAAGTGAGGTGGGCTGCGGCGTCCGCGCACGTCTGCAATTTCGATATCGCGGCCACTGCAACTATTATTGGTTTTGTTTAGTGTATCCCGATGCGTCTAAGTTGTATAATGGATATGGTATCTATTTGATGAGGCGTAATCTAAGACCAGCAAGAGATGAACTGTAGTTTAATTGATTGAAGAATAATTAATGTCTTCGTTTTTAATAAATTAATTACAAAATTGAGCCTAAGATGTTTATACTTATTCTTATATTATTAAATAAACATTGTCGTGTTGTTTATTGTAAACAATAGGTAGAATTAACCTCGTCAAAATTCGTATTATTTAGTAGGTAATTTTAATTTTACTAAGCAAGATTAATGTTTATTAACACATTTAAATGACAAGTGTAATGGGTGTGTGTGTAGTGTGGACTCAATTTCCGCACTTAGACGCTTATTTGGTCCGTGGTGCGTAAAATCCTGGCTAACGTAAGCTCTTTCCAGAAGCTAAGAAGTTTCCTGGGCACTTGGCAGGCTTCACGGAGTAACCTCACTGCATAGAGGATATCTGTTCGTTGGGAAGCCACTGCCACGCATTCCAGGACTACGTGGGTGACTGATTCCTCTACGAATAGCCTCCACACAAGGAACTGTTTGTCGCGTCTAGGACAAAGAGATGTTTATTAAAGAGACAGTGGCCCATAATTGTCCCTATCATTATTTTGAGATTAGATTTGATGAGGTGTAGAAGTCGCGAATTAAAATGACAATAACTTTTACCGGTATAATAAAAAACCGAAGGAACTTATCAATGGACGTCTCATATTTTTTTATGTTTGATAGTTTATAGCTATACATATACATATATATGATATGATGTTCGATGTTAAAAATGGGACAATTTTGAAGGTTCTTTAAAGAAAAAGGGATTGACTATGTTTTTCGGTTTTATAGAATTATACACTTAAATTATGTATTAGTATGCATTAATAGAGGAGCATGTATGCAACTCTAGTGAAGTCGTTAGGAGTTGGCTCCACCACTAGAAAAATACTCAAGACAAAAAAGAAGGAAGAAGACATTTCATGAGAGTCTTTTAGAATTCTTACTTAAGAGGATTTCAAATTCCTACATTTTTTTAAGTCTATTTATGTTCCTTGTTTAATTTTAATATAAAAGTTGGCTTTTGTCATTCATTCACTTCAAGATATACTTGTTTTATTCAGTTTTACATCGCTATTTGTAAATTTAATGATGTTTATTAGCTATGCACTAAAGCAATTTCTCCTTATTTCAAATTTTTACAACGCCGGTTGCCTTCTTAATTGATTGATTGAACTCAAATTACCTGCTTGATTTATTTAATACTCTTAACTCAATTAATTAATAAATACTTAAACAATGCATCTGTTTCAACAAAAAGCAAGCTTTGCTATAATAATTTAAAAGGCGCAATAAATTTATGTATTTTTGTGTTAGCAAATGTTCTTGACTTAAAATGAAAAAAAAATATGTCTAGAAAAACACTTAATTACCTTAATACATATATCCTTCATGTATATCTTAAACTCCTTCCTGTAATATAAGGCACATAGTAGGACAATTAAATAAAATGTATTGTTATAACATTTATGCGTAAACCTATTTTTTGTTATATTTTAAGTAACTTATACAGTTCTAGTACGTTTCTAAAAAAAAAAAAAGAGATATTCGTATAAAAGTCGGACAGACTAATAGAAGATAGCAGGACATGTCTACCTACTGCACCATAATGATGCTGCAAGTCTTTTCAGACCCTAGTACGTATATAATCAAGTAACATAACGTCGCTTAGCTAACAAAACCCCCCAAGCCTTCTACCAAATGCTTTTCCCCCCCACCCCTTCCCCCCCCCCCCCCCGCCCCCCCCCCCCCCAAAAGAAAAAAAAAACCAACGCATCCCCAAAAACCAAAACAAAAAAACCCCCCCCCCCCCCCCCCCCCCCCCCACCCAACCCCACCCACCCCCAAAAAAACCCCGCCCCCCACCCCCCCCCAACCCAAATTTTTTTAAAAAAAAAAAGGTAACTGAACCCCCCGCCCCCCCTAATATAAAAAAAAAAAAAAAAAAAAAAAAAAAAAAAATTTACCCCCTTAAAAAAAACAAAAACCCCCCCCCCTTAAAAAAAAAAAAAACAAAAAAGGGGGGGAGGAAAGAGAAGTGCGGTGGGGGGGGTGGCGCTCCCCCCCCTTTCCCCCGTCTGAATTACCAACAACCAACCTCTTTTTTTTTTTTTTCGCCGCCCCCGCCCCCAAACAAAAAAAAATCAAAACCATTTTCCCTTTTTTTTATAATTAAAAATCCAAATTATAATTAAATTTTCCTAAAAACAC